GATAGCATACTAGATTTTGCGGCCGGAGCTTATATTTGCTTATATTGAGGCAACGAGTAGGGGGTCTCTTGTAATCAACGGCTTCCAGAGCTTCAGCTTAGCAACATCTGATTAAAGGGAGGGACAAGACAGTAAACATCTGACCTCCTGACCTCGGCCTGGCTTAACGACATTGATGTACGGTTAACGATTTTGTTTGTTTTTGTTTGTTTGTTTTTATTTGTTTACCCAGGGTGTACATATCGCCACTAAGGCGTTTTTCAATGTGCCCTGCAGGCATACATAAATAAAATATACAAGAAAATAACAGAAATAACAAAATGATAAGTCAACTTATAAGTACAAATTAAAGTCAATTTAGTACAAATAAAAGTAAAAGTACTATATATGCCGCAACTCAGTAAGGTGGTAATAAAACAAACTTGACAAACCAAGAGCCACACTCATAGTAATAAAGGCAATAACACAAAAACAAAGTTTTGTTTGACGCTTGGTTGTTTTGTAACTTTATGTATTGTTTACTGTGCCGGTTTCATTGTTTTCATGTGTAACTTGTTGTCACAGGGCATTCCTGAAAAGCAGTGTTTTTCAATTAAGCACTAAAGTCTCTACCATGTTTAAAAAAAACAGAAATAGATAAATAAATCAACATTTATCTCACGTGTACCACATTTGGTGCTTTTAGACAAAGGTGCACGTTTTTTTCAGCTATGCCACTGGACGGTGAACGATACGTTATGTTTGTTTGTTTGAGCCTTTATTTCAACTCGATCTGTAACTATGTTACATGCTCTAATCGGCCGCTATTTCGGCCGCTTTTCATAGAGGTCGAGCGTGGAGGAGTGTCAAGGGGTCATAACATAAATACTGCTTGCTCACAAACGAAAACACAAAGTAATAATTGTTGTACACAAGGTAACTCACACAAAGTAAATAAATAAAACAAATGGCAATAACTAATAAATAACTCATAAGTCGCTGTGTCCAAAGTCGTTCAGTCAAAGTCAGTTACGATGCTAGCAGTCTTTTAAAGGTTCCAAGCGAAGGTGCATGTAAAGTACCGTGCCGTGCTACGTTCGCGGACTTCGCGCAAGTGCAGTACGTTCTGCGGACGTAGTGTTGGGTTAGTGAGTTCAGTGCCCCACGTGCAGGTCTGTGTAAACAATCGTCAACAGAAAGCTGTAAGGCAGACAACTCGGACGTTCCACGCTACATAAAGTAGTTCGGCGGCCAGACAGCCCACTATTTCTAGTTCTGATACCCCCACACTGGAATACAGTCGTCACCATGATCCTCATCATACGATACGGGACCAGGCTGTTCGGAAAGTCCGACTATTTCATGGTGGACGGGCAGGAGGCCTTCGTTCAAACCAAGTTCTACCACTGCTCGTACATGCCCTGTGCGCCGGAAGAAAGGTAGGCTTCTTGAGTCTGGGGTAGACACAACCAGGCCTTCCTGCGGGGGTTATACGGATCGTAGAATTCGGCGAGAAACTACATTATTAAATAACATTTTGTGTGTGTAAAGTTATACAATTTTGATATATAAAATCTTGATTTTAAAGCGTGTTGTCTGACGATCGGACTGGAAGACCTCTGAGAAACA